CCCCCCCCCCCCCCCCCCCCCCCCCCCCCCCCCCCCCCCCCCCCCCCCCCCCCCCCCCCCCCCCCCCCCCCCCCCCCCCCCCCGTTAATGAATAGGCAAGAAATAATGTAGAAAAAAAAATAATATGAAAATAGATATGTTTCTTATGATTTGTCGAGTTGCTTATAAGGAGCCGTGCGTGCAAAAGAAAATGGTGAGTGAACTGTAGCTACACAGAAGGTGACAACTCTAGGATACCCTGTTGAGCCTTCCTCAGTAAAATTACCGGTGCGGGCACCCATACAGGCACTTGTTTAATAAACATACTGCTATGGGTACCCTGAACTCGGTACATGCTCTAGGGAAGCAAATATGTATTTATGCTTTGCTAGTTACTTTTGTCCCTTCGACGGTCAGTCAAACATCAACTAGTCATCATAATTAACCTCAAACAGCTGACTCCGATAGTAATGATCTTTCACAGGATTATCTTTATCTTAAACTTCGTTCATTTTTTCATTCTATTACCTCGATTGATCTAATTTATTTGTTTATTTCGTTTTTTTTTTCTTATTTGCTATTGCCTATTCCATATTGGCGATGCGAAGTGTAGCAATCAATTTATCTTCACTAATAACAAACGTAAATCCATTATCATCATTATCTATTCAACCTCATCGAATAGTGAATAATTCGAATAAACAAACTTCATTACTATCTGATCGTTCATCATTCTAATTTGTTTTTCTTCCGGCATTATTCTATTTCATATTATCCGGTATTGAACATTCATGTCTGTATTTAACATATCTATTCACCCAGGTCAATGATTCCAGAGGACGGATACCGTATGAATCGGCTGGAAAGATACGGAAAAATCCCCGTATCCTGTTGGGAAGCACGGATAATCGCTGGAAAGTGGAAGCAGTATTCCAGCCTGAAAGTTCCGGGGTTTTCCTGTGGATTCCGGTCAGTTTTCGGTTGTATGTCCACGACCTGGGCAGCAGAAAAATTCAATTATCAGCAAGAAAAAGTTTACTATTTCAAATTTGTTATTTATTGGGTCGTTTAATCGATATAATTATTAATCATATCTGGTTTTTAGTAAATAAACCTATCAAAAAGCAATCAGATCTCATCACAATAAAATCTTCAATATTTTTTTGTTTAGTTATTTTATTTCTTATTTGTTTTTCATATTACAAGAAATAAAGTTAGAAAAAATGTTGGAGTATGTGGGTGTGAAGCGAAGACCCACACCAACACCCACCCGCACTCACCTATATCGAAATCCAAGAGTTGGTGGGGAATTTGATTTTGCGGCAAAATCAAAATGCTTATACCGCAATACCGCAATACCGCAATAACAATTGCGGTATTGCGGTATTGCGGTATAGTGGCATTGCGGTATAGCGGCAGTGCGGTATAGCGGTAGCTAGATGTTACATATCCCTTACAGAGACAAAGCGGCAAGGGGGAGAAGGTACCACCCACGCACCCTCACTAGGTACCCCATCCNTACACCCACACTAGGTACCCCATCGTATAGTATAGCGGTATACTAGTACAGTTTTTATTTTGTCACAAATAGAGATGATTTTAATGAAATCGATTTTGCCGCAAATTCAAATTCCCCATCATATGAAATCCAAACCCATACTCAGACCCACACCCAGACAGACACCCTTGTAGCCGGTGTGTTCTTATCGGTCCTTATCAGTTAAATGAAAATTCTAACATGACATGATTTTATGTAACAAAACAAGATAACGGTAACTTTTGCATGCACTTATTTAGTGAATAAGCCAATGATGATTGTAGGTACTGTCAAAACATTTTAGAAGCGTGTTGAATACATCAATAATTCAACAGTTGTTGTCCATGGATCGAGTCGAGGTTGCCGATGTCAAAAATATAACTGTACGTATTGTGATACTCCTATGGGCACAATAGTGGACGCATCGTATATATTTAGCGCAGCAAGTTATATAACCGAAGCATTGCTGATCGAAGCAACTCTTTTGAGAAGTTTTGACAGCAAAATATATAATCGAAAAACTAGTTTTCAGAAAAATTCCACCGGACTTGATTTCATGAAAAAACTTGCGAACAACACGGCTCACATCGAATAGAGATTAGCACAGGGCAATTTTAACCTCCTGTCCTATCATGTTGTGCTACATCTCTTTCGTGTGGCGAACGGTAGGACAGGAAAATAATCTCTGCGGTCTTGCTCTGTCATGTTACACAGAACAGGGCAGCACAGGAAACTGAGCAGGACACTTGGGATACTTCTTGCTATATTTGATAATGTGAAATATACAGGTTGGATCAAAACTTTTTGGGTCGAAGGAAAAACTGAATATCTCCGCTACAGTTTGATCCAACAGGCTGATTTTCTATTAATGATGAAAGAGTGTTCACAGTTTATTTTCATCAGAAAAACGTTCAAAGTAGGAAATATTGCATAAGCATCAGTATTACGAAAATGCTAATACTTTTGCATTACCGCTATACAAGTACGTTAATATTTAGATATTGGCGTTACAAAAATAATATAACACTTATGCATTACCAATGAATTAGCATTTCGGTTATGCAAACACATAGTTTGCAAAAACAGAACCCTTTTATTCTGTTATTTGGAGGAAGACTCCCAGAGTGAAACGAAGCTGTTTTATTTTATGGAATTATATATGTTTGAGTGTTAGTGTCGGTTTGGGGAGTAGGTGCGTGGGCGTGGATATGGGTGTTACTGGATGTGATGTGGGTATCGGTGTGAATGTTAGTGTGCTCTCTAAAAACAAAATGCGTCATAATGAATCTTTTTTAGGTACCATTTTCTGAATCATTTTTCACTTCTAGAAATGTTCACTAGAACCGAGAACTGTTTAGACTAAAATTTTGGAATATGTAGGAGTTCTATATTTGCTCAATAGAACTGAAAAAGGGTTTTAGAGAATGGTACTCAAATATAGAACCGTAAGAAGTTCAGGATCTTGGCTAAAATCTGAAAAGGTTCAGAATGACACTTGCTTTCTTTTAGAGAGTATTTTTTATCTACTTTTTCCGTAGCATGCCGTTGGCAGTTGACATAATGGATTTCTGTTTGTTCTTTTTTAATACTCTCTAAAAACAAATAGCGCTCATCAATATATTAGTTCACCTTTTTCTGAAAGGTAGTCTTCCATAAAAACCTGAAATTGCCATTGTTTTCAATGGTATGAATAATTTATTTAGCGATCAAAATGTAGCAATAGTGGAATTGGTCTTGCGTATTCTAAGTCTTTACTTTTGATGTTCGCAAAACTCACTTGTTACTATTTAGCTCGTAAAAGGCTCAGAACCTACCAGAACTTACTTCATTGGGATTTAATCAGAACTTTCAATAAGTGCCATACAGTTCCACAGTACATACAGAGTGTATATGTGTTGGAATATCATCATAATTGATAAATACTAATACATCTCTAAGAAACAAATAAGCCCAGAAAAAAATGAACCCCAAACAAATTATGCGGAGTAGTCCCTTACAAAGCTTTCGTCATTTTTACCAGGATAGAGTTTAAGATTGTAATACATGCATTTCAACAATTTTTTTCATACACAATCGGAAGGTATTAAACCAGATAAAAATTTTTGGTTCTAAATCAGTCGGTATAGAAAGAAACCAACAGATTATGGTTTCCGCTAGTATCAGAAAAAATTCAAAGAAATACAATATATTTCTAACAGCTTAATGTAGGGCTGTGCTTCTCATTAAATCTCATGAAAAGCTGTTAACATTGAAATATTCTCATTGCACTTGCATGCTGCTCAATTTGAAATGCTAATACTAAACCTAGAACCCTTATTTGCCGTACATTAGGGATAAGAAGTTATTGTTGTTTTCAAGATATGGACGTTATCAGTCGACATGGTACCCCAACACTTATTTATTTGCGTAGTTTTAACTTGCAATGAGAAAAGGCTTATTTTTTACCAGTTATAGACTATATATAATCCTCATGATCTATGACTATTTTAGGTTTACGTTGCAAGGGACAATAATGATTAAGTATATCCTAATAGTTATTGTGTAAAATATTTTTCGCATCCGATTTGTTAACATTTCGCTCTCTGTATAAAATTCGTGCACGATAGCATTTCTTCTATTCTATCATATCTTGGTTCTCCAGCCATGTGGTCTCTGTTCTAGCTACGATTTTGGGTATGGGTGTAGATATTTATGAATGTTAAAGAGGACACGGACGGCACACCTTAGTCAACACTCACATCTCAGGTACAGTGAAGTCATCCGACCCTCGGTATCCTACTACCGACGACGAATTGATGGGGAGCCCCTCTATCTGCAAGTCATTACTCACTCATCATCTGAGGATTCGCTTGTGCTTCGATGGTGAACTTTCCTTGTCTCTGGGAGAAAAAGAGCAAATTGTCTATTCCGAGTATTAATCGACATTTTTCGATGATCAACCTTTTGCTGTGTATTAATTGCGCTAAAAGAATTGAACAAAATTCTTCGATGAAATCTTTTGACAGCCTCACTTTCCACAAAAAGAATTTGGTCATAAATATGGTTATTACTACACATGTCGTGCATCTTTTCTTGTCCGATAATCATCGGTAGGAATGCACCAAATTCAATTCTATAATTTGATTTGGCAGTATTTGGAGTTCAATTTGACCGGATTTGGATTTAGTGCATCACTATTCATCAGTTTTTGATATTTAGGACAAGAAGGTGGCTCTACGGTCAGAAGTCATGAAAAAGATCACCAACAAATATAACCAGAGTCAGTATAAAGTGAAAAAAGTCGAGCATAAAAATATTCTGATTGTTGGTCGCACACGCAGTGGAAAATCTACAATCAAGCGTATGCTCACGGATCCAACAGCAGAGCCCATCGCATTAACACTCAAGTCGGAAACGAAAGACGCTGATTTTAGCTCTTTCCTTGTCGACGATAGTCGAATTGTGCTCAATATCATCGACACGCCAGGTCTGTTTGAAACCAATACTGAAGAGCAACAGATTCGTGACAATGACACAATCATAAGCACAATTCAACGGTGCGTTAATCGTGAGCTAACTAAATTTCATCTCATCTGCTTCTGTGTGTCCGTTATCGCTGGTATTAACAAAGAAGATGTGGCTTCTCTGAAACTGTTTAAGGAATATCTTGGCGAGCAAGTTTCGAGCAACTCTTGCTTGATAATAACGCGTTGTGAGCTCAAAGATGAAGAAGAGCGAGCTAAAATTCGCAAGGAACTTGAAGAAGATACCCATTTTAAACCGATTGCCGGCTTTTTCTCACAAGGCGTCCATTTCTCTGGCTCTCTGGATTATGATGCCTATAAAAGTTCGCCACTTACACTTGAAGACCAATTCGACACTATCATGCAAGATCGAGCTCAGCTCATTCAACTGCTTCTTACAGATATCAAGCCCTTCAATGTTAGCAATTCTCTTATAAGCGATCTTTTTCAATGGCAGCTCTTATTGGCCAGGAAGCAGGAAGAAATTGACCTTCTGCAAACCGACAAAAACAGCTACATCAACGATATTGAACTTATGAAAAATAAGAAACAAGAGCAGGAACTTGTGATTAAAAAGCTGAAATTGGAAGCAAGAAAGCAAAATGGTAATGGATGCACGATTTCCTAAAACAGATGCGTACATTATAATATCCTTTTCAATAAAAAAATCCAGAATCCGTAAAAATGAATATCTCAGTTCAATTAGATAAATACAGCAGGATGAAGGTTGTGGGTGTGTGCATAAGAGTTAAATTTCAAGCTGCATGCGACGCCTTTGGACTGTTGCTTAAGCAATCATCATCAGGTAAGTTCGAAATCATAGTACTGCATAGATTTAGCTAAATATTTAAAGCATTATTTACCGCTATACTTGAGAGTGTGGGTGTGGGTGGGTGTAAGTGTTATCTGCCTCCTTCGGCACCCACATCCCTGCTCTGAATCCGATAGCTGCTGAGGGGCTCAAAATCGAAACAGAACGAACACAAATGATATAGTTTACACTTTCGAGCTCTCGTCGCACCCATCGCGCGCTTTTTAATATTTGCTTGTGCTGTATGTGCAATCAAAAGCGGCCAGAAAAAGAAACAAACGTCCGTAACTTCAAAAAATTTAAAAGTCAAACACATGCATTACAGTTCATCATTTTTGTTCCAAAACCAGTTGAAACCTTTTTTTAATTTTTCACCGAAATTTTGAGCTGAATTGATACCGGTGGAAATCAACTTCGAGAAAAATGCCGTGATACCTGGTGGTTTTTCTTTAAATTCGGCCATCATTATAATTGTGAGGTAGTCTTTTCCAATTTTACCAAAAGCGACTCTTTCGTATATAACACCTTTATCATGATCACCAGAGTCTACTATTTTATCTGTTTGTGATTGTGTAACGTCGTTCAAACCCTGGAATACTTGCTCCATATTCATGAGTTTGAATTTTGGCGTTCGTGCTTTCAACGTAGCGATATCTGGAATTTTATTCCACAGAACAATGTCTTTGTGCATTGTTTTAAGCTGTTTGTTATCTTCAAGATAGTTTGCAATTTGAAAATCCAAATTGGAAATCGAGTCACGGAGATCTCGAGAAGCTTTAACTTCTTGTAGGGCAATATCGATGTTGTCGGCTTGATTCATACATGTTGTTATTGTAGAAATCATAATAAAAATGTAAATTATATTAATCGTTTCTATAAGAAAACACTGGTGCATCTTAGTTAGAAAGAATCATCCCGTTCAATAGGAAAGACTCATAAGTAGTTCCATCGATAAACAGCAATAAAAACGCAAAAGTCCTGAAAATGTTTTAAACAGACTCTTTTTCGTACACCTTTTCGAGGTGATCATTTTGTCATAAAAAATATTCTTAACTTCAGCAAAGAATGGCAATAATAGGGTCGAAATATTGAAACTCGTAGAACTCTTCTACAGCTACTGAGCGATTTGATGGGTGTGAGTGTTGGCGTGGCGTGGATATGGAATGGGTATGACGTGTTTCTGGATGTGGCGTGCGTTTTGGTGTGAGACTGAATCAGGGCCTGGGTGCTAGTATTCACTTCATCGCTGTAACGATTTCTGATAGAAGAGATGCCTGTGCTGATGGGATTACACTTTATTTAACTCTCCAAATCATAAATCGCCTCGATTACATATAAAACACACGGCTAAATACTCAACCATTTGAGAGAACGAAGGGAAATGAGAGATAAAGACAAATATTAAGGACAGAAAGATAAAGGCAATATATGTGATGAGAAGAAATGGCGCCATAGGGCCAAATACCATGCACAGGCCACACTCGAACGGTAGCGTTACACTCCCGCGTGGAATTTAGAGGCACTCCGCATTTATCGTTACAATCGCGACGGTCGACACAGCCACCACACTACAAAACCCAGATCCATACCCAGGATGAGAATTACAACGAGTTTAGGGATGCGCCAGTACAAGTATACTGGTGACCAGTAATACTGGTTTTCTACTTTCGAAAATAACAATTAGCTAAATGAATAATTTTCTCAGTCATCACTTCTTTTGTCTATATTCAAGTGAAAAATTGAATTTTGAGGTATTTGAAACAGTATACTATATTGTATATTCAACTAGCTGATAACGTTATCTAGACATTTTTCAATAGTTTTCAACGTTTTTGAAGAAAAAATATCATTAATTCAGATTATAGTCATAGTAAAAAAGAAAGTGTGCTCGAAAATCTATATTGAGCATATTATATAGCACTAAAAGTCAATCAATCGAGAAAACAATAAATGTATATGTTATAAACAAGGGTGTGGGTGTGGGTTACATGAATGCCTCTACCCTCTTCGGCAGTAATTTTAATAGGATCACTACATGTGCGATAGTTTAGTAAAACATCACTTCCATACATGACAACATACGATGCGTATATATGTATTGAAAGTACCCATATAATAAAAATCACATGGAAATCGGCGATTAACCACGGTTTTATTGGTCCGCTTACCGGCTCCCATATCAGTGTAATTTACCGCAAAAAATGATTCGGTATTCGCAACGTGGGTATACAACGTAAAAGGAAATTCTCGAAAGACTACGTTAATACTGCGCTTCGAAGATAATTTGCCTCTTGATTGTCTTACTGGCTTTAAACAAGGATCGTTCTTTTCCTTAAGAAGCTATTGAAAAGCTGAAAAATTACTGCTACAAAAAAAATGTATTTGTCAAAGATTAAACATATTATAAAGAACCAATAGAACAGCTTATTGAAAACAATACTAATTCTTCAAACCACGAACCGAGCATGATTAATATTTTTGTTGTGAATTCTGACCAGTCTTCATTTGAATTATTTGAGTAGAAAGATAAAGTAAGAATTCAATATTTTAATGTCAATTAGATTTAACAACTCACCTTAGCCAATATTTCTCGATCATTTTTTTCTATAATAACATCATTTATTTTCGCTTTTTCTGTGATACATGAAAAATCTTTATTTGATAATGATAAAATATTGTATTGAAGAATAATATCTGCGAATATCTCATCCTCTTTGCATAATCATCTAAAGAAAGAATATCTGTTAATTTTTAAATAGTTCACTGCATCGATCAATACACAATGTTAGCGATCTTTGTCATTATGAGAACATCAATCAAATAAACTTAATTATAAATTTATTCAATAATCTATTCAAGTTTTATTATTCTTAAAACCTAAAATTTTAAAAATCAATTAAAAGAAGTAAAAATTGATTATCTTTCACAACATACCCTATAGACAGCTAAGGTTAAATTTGAATACTAGTGTTGGCTACAGTAAAACCTGTATTGTGCTTGAACGTTTATTTTAAATATTCAATAAAAATGCTATTCTATGTAATGATGGCTGCTCTTTTTAATATTTTGTTCTTTTTCAAAATGAATAAATGAGATAGTTCCATTATTCAATGCGTAATATTTTTATTCGGGTTATGTTTCCTTTCGACGAAGGAGATACAAATCTTAATATGCCTTACCATCTATAAAACTGTGTAGTTGTTAATCTTGTAGTTTCCAACGAATTCATTTCATATAGTTATTAAAATGTTGCTGAAAGAAATAATATCTGAATTAGTTCATGTAGAAGATAATGAAAAATAGTTTTCTTTTTGATATACGTATATTGTTGTGATAGAATATCATAGACTGCATTGGTTTTTGTTTTATTAGATAGTGTAAATTCAAAAGCTCAGGCTAATTTTATCCAGATTTTTATTATCGGCTCACAAACCTTCCAAACTATCATTTGTTAAAGGACTCAATAGTCTTCTTTTTTTTCATATGAAATTCATAGCTTCTGGCAACCTGTTTTGCGGCAGAGATTTCATTTATTTTGATCTTCAGAAACCCAATAATTTCTTTTCTTTTGTACAACTGTAAAGTTATACATCTGAGTTGAGCAAATCAATTTATATATTCACATTAAAAACGACTAGGTCTCTACAAAGCTTTCGGATCTTCTATTATTTCAATTCGAACCTATGTATTGCTTTCTGTAAATATGCTGATTAAATTTCCAATTATATTAAAATAAACATGCAATACACCAATCATGTTCAAGTGCATCTTGACAGTGTTGTATAAAAAGAGTAGCATATCTTTTTTTTGTATATTTATTAAGAGTGTATCATTATTTACGATTTTGTTGTTTTATTTGTTGACGTTCTCGCTCGGCTCGACACGCCGGGCAATCATCATAAAAAACTCCTTTTTCTTTCGTACGACATTCTGTACACGAACAATTACTACAAGTTGAACAATGACTACATGTTGAACAGCCGCTATAACTCGATGACGATGAACATGACGATGATGGTGATGATGATGCTTTTCTTTGAACAGGTACTACTATAGGAATTGTTATAAGCATTTTTTTCTTCGATTCATCTTCACTTGAATCATCTTTATGGATATCAGGTTTAGTCTTTTGAATTCGATAGATCTTTGATAGTTTATATTTTGTCTCTTTCTCATGTATTAAATCACGAGAATTATTATTCGAAATAATACCGTTCATTATTTCATTATTTGGATCACTTGGTTTTACAGGATTCATTCCATTAGGATTATAAGGATATGATTGAGTAGAAGGCACTGCAGGATATCCTGGTCTATATCTAGGCGGAGCAGCTACTGGTGGATAACTTAATGGTTGCGCTCTATAACCAACAGTCATTGCTGCAACATTTGTATTTGGATATCCTGTATACATATATGGACGCATAATTGATTTGCAAACTAGAATTGTTTATAAATAAAAAAATAAAAACATGCTTTGCACTTATTGTTAACAACACATTGCTATTGATGTTTTCAATTCATTCAAAATAATATGACAATGCCGTTAAATTGAAACAATTATTTGTTTCTTCCTACAGAAAGTTTTGTTTAAAATAAAAATAGAAAAAGAATATTGAAAAATATAATCAAAGAATTGTTTACATATCGATATGTTATTATATAGCAGAGTGATTCATAGTAGCATATAGAAAATTTTTTGGTTTCACTCTATCTTAATTTCATTCTTATTACATATCAACGGTTTCTTCGGTTATGACTTCTCGCGTTTCATAGCGATACACTCATTTGTTGTTTTTTTTCAGGCATTGTCTTCTGTTGATTTATTCTGTGATCGACAGGTACTTTTCTTATGCTTCTGATTTTTGCTTTTCTCTCTCTCGTTCGAAAGTCTCTTCAAATTTTCTTGTTCATTCTCGTTCGAGTAATTCCTTTCAAGGTTGTCAATGTATGACGTTGATTGAAATTTTTTATGATATGTTTTAGACTCAACTTTCAAGTAGTCGTTTGCAAGTGACTTAATCAAAAAACAAAAAACAATAGTTTCATTGTACTAACGAAATGAAGTCGAAGACTCTTCTGCTATTGCTGGTAGCTGTTATAGCTCCCGGTAGGTTTATTCTAATTATATAATCTTCGACAAATGATTTTATTTTTATTTTATAGAACTGGTCTTGTCTCAAAGTTGTTTCGCAACAACATGGAGTACTTGGGCTTGCAGTGTAACTTGGTATGTGAAAATTAATTGAGTTTCTATTTCATAAGAATTTTTATCTTTTAGTGGCAATGGAACATATTCACGAGTAAGAATGATGAAATTTTGTTATATCTGACTTTTTATGTTTTCTAGACAAGAAATTGTATAACAAATACAACAGCTTCTTGTAATTCATGCTGGGAAACATCGTATACACAATCTCAAACGCAAACATTGGATTGTATACGTGGTGCATGTCCGTATTGTTCATGGACAAATTTCACTGTATTTCCATGTTCAGCATCATGTAATACTGGTTTTCAATTACAAACACGCCAATGTTTGACAGCCACCGGCCAAGCATGTGGTACATGTGATGGTAGCGATGTGATATCACAGCCTTGTACACAGCTACCAGCATGTCCTAGTATGTAGTTAGATTTGATGCTGTTTTTTTCTCTTGTGTCTAGTATAAAAGTTTATTTTTGATAGATCTATGTCCAATTAATAGTCATATCGAACGAAACTATACGGATTGTAGTATTACTTGTCAAAACCGGACTGGCAATTTACCTTGTACTGTACGTTCTGTTGGATGTGTATGTGATGCGGGTTATTTTTTCGATTCTATCGGCGGACAATGTATACAGGAATGTGATTGTGGTTGCATCGATTCTGGATCACATTATCGTGCAGTAGATATATTTTGATTCTGTGAAACTTTCATGCATTTTAATTCTATAGTTAAATCAAGTATGGAATGACACTTGTAGCACATACATATGCAATTCTGGTGGTATTATCGATAGAATTGCCACAATTTGCAATACTAGTAAGTACACTATAAAAACAAAATAGAAATAATTCATTTTTCGTTTATTTTGTTTTCTTTTAGGCGTGATACCGACGCCAGGTAAGTTTTATTTCATTCCTACTATGTTGATGTGTTGCTGATGGATTTATAGTCAATGGTGGTTGGACTGCTTGGCAAACTCCTACTCCAGTTGTTTGTTCAGCAACTTGGTATGAATATTATTTTATACATAATTACAAATAAAAATATATTCTGCTTTTTTTGTTTTAGTGGCAATGGTTCACGACCACAGTGAGTAAAATAATTTAATTTTGAAATAAAACAAAAATAGACTTCTTTAATAAATATATATTAGATATCGTACTTGTACGAATCCAACACCGCAAAATGGTGGTTTATATTGTTCTGGTTCAGGCGTACAACTACTTAATTGTTCAACAAATATTACCTGTCCTGGATCAAATACTTGGTCAACTTGGTCAGCATTTAGCGGATGTAGTGTTACATGCGGAAATGGTACCCGTACAGCCTATCGAAATTGTACAATACCAGCATCAGCCTCATCGGGCTCTGCTTCATGTAATGGATCTAGTACTAATGTCACCAGTTGTTTTGCTGGAGCTTGCCCGAGTATGACTTTTTCTTTTCAAACCAACAATTTTCTCTATTTATCTTTTATTCTACTTGTTAGTTAATGGTGTTTGGACAGCTTTTAGTAATTATTCAACATGTTCAGCGATTTGTTCTGGTGGTCTGCAAGCTAGTAGTCGTGATTGTGTGAATGAAACATCGGGTGGCTTGACATGCTCTGGATACGGACTACAATTTCAAAATTGTTCAGGCTATGATGCAGCCTATCAATGTGATGGTTTGTATTTATCAAGAAAATTCAATAGAAAAAGAGATGAAAAATTCAATTTATTTTCGTAGCTATTGGTTTTTGGAGTAATTGGACTAGTTGGAGTACATGTTCAGTATCATGTGGCGTAGGCTTTCAATTTCAAACACGAGTATGTCTTGGTGCTGGTTTTGGTTGTGTTGGTGAAGCAATAAATACAACAATTTGTAATACAAGTGTAGCTTGTCCTGGTAAGTCACAATAATATTCTAGTAAAACTATTTCTAAGTCGATTTGTTTTTCCCCCGCAATAGTTGATGGAACCTGGACTAGTTGGTCAACTTGGTCGTCATGTCCGACAACATGTGGTACAGCTACTGTATATCGTACGTTGTTCAATTTGAAGAAGAAAACAAAAGATTCTATTGTAGTTAAAAATCTGATTCATATTCTAGGAACACGTAATTGTACTGGTGCATCCAATGGAGGTGTTTGCTTGGGTTCAGTACTTGATACGCAACTATGTGATACAAATATTAGTTGTACTAGTAAGTTAAGATTCTTTCTTTTTTTAATTTACATATACTATTTTGATTTCGATCATTATTTTTAGGGTTTCCATATAATGCAAGTAAGATTAAATCATCTATAATGTGTCAGTAGAGAGTTTCGTTTTGTTATTAATTAGCTAACGGAGGTTATACTGCATGGTCAAAATGGGGTTCATGTTCTAGTACATGTGGCACAGGTGAACAAATACAAACAAGGTTGACTATTGTATTTCGTTATGTTTGTATTACTTTCATTTTTCTATTCACTAGATCTTGTACGAATCCGTTACCTACATATGGTGGTAATTATTGTGTTGGATCTCCTATTAATATAACATCGTGTACTGCAACACAACCATGTCCAATCGATGGTAATTGGGCAACATGGACAAATTTTTCAAGTTGTAGTGGTACGTGTGGAAATGGTACAATGTCACGTATAGTAAGTTTTGTCAAACCATCGGCATTTAAAACTATACAGTTACAATAGCGTCTATGTGCTAATCCATCGCCATCGAATGGTGGTCAACAATGTCCAGGATCAGCGACTGATATCAAAGATTGTGAAACTGGTATTGATTGTCCTGTTGATGGAGTGTGGGGAAATTGGAGTATGGTTTAACTGGATTTTGAATTATCAGAATTCTTTTTTCATTTTTTTGTACAAAGCTTTAACTACACCATGTTTTGGCGTTTGTGGTAATGGTACATTAATTTATAAACGTAAGTGTACGCCGCCAATTGGTGGTGGTCTTATGTGTGTTGGCCCAACACAACAAACCAATACATGCGATCTTCAGCGACCATGCCCAAGTAAATTGAATAGATTCTTCTACGTGATTTATCATTCACGTATATATTTAGTTGATGGTGGTTGGAGTAATTGGACTAATTATACAACGTGTAGTGTTACGTGTGGTGTTGGTGTTTTTTCTCGAGTCAGTTATCTATAGTTGATATAAATAATAATTATTTTGAAAATTTTTATATCACAGATTCGTAACTGTAATAATCCAGTACCACAATACGGTGGAGATTTATGTGTTGGTCCACCGCTTGAAACCGCTTATTGTTTAATAAATGTGTCATGTCCAAGTTAGTATTGTGAAACGAAGATTTCATTTGGATTTTTTTCTATTTGATTTTAGTCAATGGTGGTTGGACTTCTTGGACAAGTTGGTCGAATTGTTCATTAAATTGTTCTGGTGGCATGCAAACACGAACAAGGTATCGTACGATACATTAGATTTATTCATATGTTTATCTGCGTTTTCTTCTTCTTTTTTTTATAGAAATTGTACGAACCCATCACCAGCTTATAACGGAGCTCCATGTATTGGTTCAAGTTATCAATATCAAACATGCAATGATGCTATTCCTTGTGTTATATGTAGGTTTTTCTTCTTTCTTAATAACATATTTACGATATCTTTTCGTTTCATTGTACAGTGATCACCGGTGCTGCAGGTAAGTTTTTTTTAACGATGAACTCTATTATATAATTTAGTTCGCTTCTTTTTGCTGTTTGTTAGTTAATGGAACTTGGGGTTCATGGACTACTTGGGCGCCATGTTCAGGTACATGTGGCAATGGAACTCAATCAAGTAAATTTTCCTGTAATGAAAAATATCGAATAAAATTCTTCAAAAATTTATAAGGATTTCGTAATTGTTCGGGAGAATATAATGGCGGTAATCCATGTGTTGGGCCCACACTTCAGTATAACACATGTAATACGAATGTAGCATGTCCGAGTTAGTATTTCAAGAAAAGAATATTTTTTCATGATCAATTGCCGTTGCATTCTATTTATAGTCAATGGTGGTTGGTCAAGTTATACAAATTTTGGACCATGTTCAGCAACGTAAATGATTTTTATTTAAAAATATTTAAAAAATGTAAAATCAATTTGTCTTTAGCTGTGGAAATGGAACCAAAGTACGAACACGTGATTGCAATAGTCCTGCACCTTCATTTGGAGGTAATACACCAAGATTCATTGATTTTTCAATGCAATGAAATTTTGATATAGGTTCACAATGTGTTGGCAATTCAAAAGATACACAAACATGCCTAACAAATATTAGTTGTCCAAGTATGCAGATTCGCCAGAAGATTATTTTCATACATATTTCATATTCATCTTATTAATATAGTTGACGGCGGATGGTCTGTTTGGACTCAATCTCCATGTTCATCAACATGCGGAATAGGTTATCAAGTTCGGCAAAGGTAGAAACAAAAGAAGACAGAAAGAATGAAAAAAAACTCTGTATGTTCTAGAAATTGTACAAAACCAACGCCACAATTTGGTGGCATTTATTGTCTAGGATCATCAATTGATACAATCTTTTGTAATGTATCGAATGTTACATGTCCAGGTAAGGAAGCAAAATACTAAAAAAGACATGAAACTTGTATTCAAACAAATTTATTAATTGTAATAGTGATGGGAACTTGGGGTGCATGGAGTAATGCTACATACTGTTCGGTAAGAATTAATTGTTAGCCGATTCTGTTACGTATATATTCAACGATTTAAAGGTTTCTTGTGGTTTTGGTATTAGTATACGCAATCGAACATGCCTACCGACTGGTTCGATTAATTGTGTGGGTGATTCTGTTGCAGTTGAAACATGTGACTCGGGTGTTAGTTGTGCTAGTATGTCATTTTCTTGCATTCGAATTACATTTTATGTATGTATACTTTTTCTCACTGTAGCCCCAGCTCCTTGGAATTCAGGTAAGTGTCATTCGCATAATCAATTAAATTTAAAACACCGGAAACAAAAACCATTGTAAAACTTAGTTAATGGTAATTGGAGTGGATGGTCTAATTGGTCACCATGTTCTGTAAGTTGTGGCAATGGTACTCAATATCAGACAAGGTAAAATATCGGATATTAACTATGGATGATTCTTCCATTTTTTTAAATTTTACTCTTATAAAGAGCTTGCAATACAACAACTCCTTCACAAGGTGGTTCATTGTGTAGTGGTGATGCTCTAAGGACACAAACTTGTACTACAAATTTGACTTGTCCAGTAAATGGTAACTGGACAGAATGGGGAGGTTATTCACCTTGTAGTACAACGTGTGGTACCGGCATTCAAAGTCGAGTTCGTATTATTATTCATCGATATTCTTATATTTAATTGACATATATATATTTAGATTCGATACTGTAATAACACTAATAATTTTGCTCAATTGTGTATTGGACCTGCGTTGGAAACACAATTATGCAATCAAAATAGCACATGTCCAGGTATGTATAGTTTGAATTGCAATCAAATACAGTTTATTATATGTGTGCTTATTTATAGTGGTTGGCGTTTGGCAAACATGGACTGGTTGGAGTATATGTAGTGGTAGTTGTGGTACTGGTCTTCAAGTTCGGTAGTGCTTCTCTTTAATAGAACTATTATTCTAAATAGTAAATTTTCATTTCCAACAATCTATTTAGAACACGAAATTGTACAGTAGTAGCTGGAGGTCAACAATGCTCTGGTTCAGGATTAGATGCTCAATCATGTAATACAAATATATCATGCCCAGGTTAGTGAATTATTATCTTGATGTATTAAATATAATCATTTTGAAATGATGTCACATATTCTAGTTGATGGTGGATGGGGACCGTGGACCAATTGGACAGATTGTTCATCGGGTACATGTGCTGCTGGTAGTAGCTTTCGGTTTAGGACATGTAATAATCCGCAGCCTTCGAATGGGTAAGAGTTATGAAAATAAGCACAGAGACCTTTTGTATGTAACATTTTACTTCGTATGAAAGGGGGCAAATGTGTACGGGCGATGCAATGCAAACAAAAACATGTGATGGAGTATCGATCTGTCCGATAGATGGTGGTTGGTCATCATGGACTGCATGGACAGGATGTTCGTCGACTTGCGTTGGTGGTCGTCGCTATCGATATCGAAATTGCTCTGATCCTGTACCATCCAATGGTGGTATATCATGTGTTGGATCATCAGTTGACGTTGATAGTTCATGTGGCAATAGTACATGTGGTATGTCGAGTGAAAGAATATTTTTCAAAATAATTTTCTATATTCATATTTGTTTGTTTGTTTGTTAGGTTCTACGCCTGCTGTTGGTAAGTTTCCTATGAAATAAGAAAAACGAAAATATAATAATTCAATTCTGATAGCAATCGGTGTATGGCTTAATTGGAATGCATGGTCAGATTGTGCAACTACATGTAAGAATGAGAATTTTATTTCAATTCTTTCAATGGTATCTTATTTTTTTTCTTGATTCTCAGGTGGATCTGGTATCAGAATACGAGTGAGTAGCATTTTTTACAGGAGAAACAAACATTAATAAAAAATATTTTCATTAGACAAGAAATTGTACTACAACAGGTTTACCTTGCGTTGGCTTAAACTATGTACTCGAATCATGTAATTCATCTATTAATTGTCCTGTTGATGGCATATGGGGTGCTTGGAGTAGTTTTTCTGACTGTACTGCTTCATGTGGTATGGGTACACAAACTCAAACACGTCTTTGTCTTAAGCAATCCAATGGTGGACAAACATGTTACGGTTCACCGACAAAAACAATTTCATGTAGCACTAATATCACCTGTCCAAGTGAGAATTCTGTCATCTAGATAAACTATCTAAATTGTTTCTCTTGTGATAAATTAGTCAATGGTCAATGGACAATATGGAGTTCACAAAGTCCTTGTTCAGCTACATGTGGTACCGGCTTTGTGAGATAATAGTTCAAATAATAATTTCATAAGATTATAGTTTATTTTTTAGACGGTTCGTACACGTACTTGTTCACAAATAATACCAACATTCGGTGGTGTGTCATGTCCTGGCTCATCTTTACTTTATGAAACTTGCACAGCATCACAAAATTGTTCAGGTATAACTATTTCGAATATAGAATGAATTGTCTATGTGTTTTTCTTTGTTCATCATTTAGTCGATGGACAATGGGGTTCATGGAAACCATGGTCAGCTTGTACGGCTACTTGCGGTAAAAATTCTACGAAATATACTACTCGACTTTGTGACAGTCCAGCACCATTATACGGTATATTGTACAGAATCATATCATTCAATATATACAAAATATTTTCCTCATAGGCGGCAATGGCTGTGCTGGTTTAGCATTTAATGTAACGAACTGTATTGAACTACCCGATTGTTCACGTAAAAAATTTTGTTTTGATTTATAATTTCATCAGTATTCACCTTTTTCTTCTAGTATGCGGGTCAAATCAAGTATTCACAAATGCAACTCCTGCATCATGTCCATTACTTTGTTCAAATCCAAATAATGCAACTTGGTGTTTGAAACGTACATGGATACCAACATGTTTGTGCCAATCGCCCTATGCGTGGAATGATGCAACAAATACATGTGCATTATGGTGTGATTGTGGTTGTTATGGAAACAATAATGGAAAATATGCTGTATATTTCTATAAAACAAAATCGAATAAATCCATATTTGTTTTTTAAAAACTATATTTATAGGTTGGAACTGTTTGGCAAGAAAATACTTGTCGTACCTATCAATGTATGCGTCAAAATAATACTGCTGATGCTGCTCCACGAGCATTGTTAATATCTAGTAATTGTACAAGTAAGATATTTCAACTATTTGATTTTTTTTAGAAAGTGAAGTGTTTTCTCTTGTTTTTTTTTGTTATAGATTGTTCCTTTTTTGGTTGGTCAACATGGTCGGCATGTAATACTTCATGCGGTCAAGGTTATCAAACACGTACTCGATCGTGTCTCTTCTTAAATTCTAACACACCGTGTAATACATGCAACGGAAACAGTACTCAGATGCAAATATGTGACAGTGGACCTTGCGAAAGTTTGATTAATTATAAAAGCTAAATGTAGATGACATCTTAATTGTAATTTTAGCATGTGAACTTGGTCCATATGAGCCAGCCACTGATTGTTCAAAAACGTGCGGAAATGGTACACAAACATTAAATCGAACATGTCTTAATATAGCTTCAGCAACTTCATCAATACCACAAACATGTTCAAATGTATCTCAATGTGGTACGAATATAAGTACTGTTGGAATATGCAATCCAGATGTATGCATCAGTAAGTATTTGCATAGACGATAGCAGAATAGGAAGATTCTACCAATATTTTTAGTTTGTGGTTGGTCTACGTGGGCTAATGGGCGATGCTCTGTAACATGTGGTACTGGCTCATACATTCGAACCACATACTGTAGAGATCAGTTTTCTAGAAATTGTACAACCTGTATTAATAATACAGCTACGATTAGCACTCGGCCATGCTTCTATCCAAGTTGCACAAGTAGAGTTTTATTTTATTTTATTTTATTTTATTTTATTATTTTATTCAATTTATTTCGTAGCACGTCGACGACGTAGTTTAACCAGTTGGCTATTATCGTGGCTTGGTGATTAAATAATGTGATTAACTTTTCATTGGACTTCTTTCTTTTAACTTCTTAATGTATGGTTTTTCAATATCTTTTTTTCTTTATATTTTTATGATTCATTTTTAATCAACTCTTTTATGCTCTAACAACTTTTTGAATGAATAAAGATATTTGTTTTGTATTTGTGGCACTTTGCGTTTAATAAAATTCAATACCTTGCAGGAAGAAATTTTTCTCCTTTGGGCTACTAGGGAAAATATTCTTCTAGCGAAAATTTTTCGTCAGTGAAAAATATACATTAGATGATATGTTAAATCTGATTCATTTTATAAGTCTCATAGAAAATGCTCTAACTTTTTAGAGAGTAATCAAATGTATTCGATTCCGTTTTTAAGCGCATTGGATTAGTTATCAGTAGTTGTACATAGTCAGCTGCAAATGTATGCGTGATCGATACAACGTGAAGGCGTATAAAACTAATATTCAGGCAAACAGTTCTTATACGTAATACTGCTTAGATCTGACGTAAGTAATGTTAGCACGATATTCGAATATTTCCAGTCCTGATTCACTCTTTGACCTGTGATGGGTCTATCACAAGTTGTGTTGGATAGAGAATTTCGTTCCCTACTGAATGATACCATTTTTTTTATGGGATCATCTGACAAAAAATATGGGTTGTGTGATCATTTGAGTGAGAACTTGGGTCAGTATGTGTCATGTTCGAAATGAAGAAAGCAATGCTTACAACCGCTCAAAGTAGCCCAGAGAAGCGTTCCGGATAATCTATTATGACCACACTCTCTCATTGACACCATCAAGATGGACTGAATGGAATGTTAAGCCACACAGAAATCCCTCAGCAAAGCCATTATTTTGTAGAATCACTATGTTTTTGTAGATGTTCGAAAGAATATTTTCATCCTAGCGTCTGCTTTTTAATCCCATTTATGCACTTATTTCACGGTTTGCTCAAATGCGAATTTCGATGACGAAAAATGAAATTGTTCCCATCCAGCTTGGCGCGTCTAATTATTTTGTTCTAAAGGTTCAATATCATTCTTGTAACGGGGAGGGGTAAGTGACATTAAATAACCATTCAACTTCCTAGGTTACTGCTACCTCTGTTTCTATGTGCCACACGATTAGTATTTAGATTATATGGCATACATTATGCCAATTTTAGTGAGTTGTTGGCGCTTAAATAAAAGTGTGATCGAATGAACTCAGGAGAGAAAGAAGCATGATGACACGTATAAGAACTACTAGCCTGGCATCGACTCACGTGCCAGTATCTAAAATCATATCGACTTTTTTTTCCAAATACTGAACTAGCGCTGTTTAGGCCTCCAAAGAAGTAAATATAGCGACTATTATAATCTTTTCTATTAAATGCCCGTGAGAAAAAAACTACGAATCGAAGAAAAATTTACTTGAAATCATACCCATTTATTCTTTAACGCAACAATATAGCTTGACACTTGTTAATATTATAACATCTGCTAACATAGCTAAAATAATAGTGTAACGCCTGCAGTGTTAAAACTTCTAATTACTATTGGTGAATTGGAATACGTAGAATATTGTTCCATAATATGTTAAGTTATATATGCTGCTTGCTGCTTGATAAAACTTTGTTTATCTTCTACAATTGAAATCTAAAAAAACAGAATATACAAACCTTTTTGACTTTTCTTAAAGTAGCCTGCTATTTTTAATAAATTTCTTTCCGACATTTGCGTACTAGGAAATCCTTTTATTTTTCTCCCGGAATTCACTTTTATATATCTATGTTTCATTTCGATAATTTTATCATTATTAAGATTTTGACGTTCTCGTTTATACTTCAAGATTAATGACCCCCTTCATGAATCCTACTATATAAAATAATGGCATTTTTGTAGCAATAACCTTTCATAGTCACTAAACGCATTTTTTGCATCGTGCTCAATATCTAAATGATTCAGTATACCAATGACAACCATTATATATTGTTCTCCCATCGGGTATCTATTAAGAGAGGAAAAACATATAAAATCAATCTTCAATACTAATGTTTAACGTAGGCAATTTTATACTTCCAATTCGAACTTTGATCTATCACATGATAAATCTCATTTGCATTAACTCATAGTCGGTCGACTTTTTTGGTTCTCTTACAGTTGTCTTTTTATACGCTGTTTTTAAGGCTTCCTCACTGAATTAAAAAAGATACTTGACTTAATGTTCATAAACAAACAATAGATAACCACTAATATCAAAATATTGTATAATTGAAACAAATTAATTTCCAAAAAAAACGTTCTTGTAATAGTTCAAGGAGCAATTACAATACCGGGTACATCATCCACTGTGAAAGTTCGTTTTTTGAAAATGAAAACAATTAAGACTGCTCTCACAATGGATGAGTGTGTGTTGATAAGCAAAAATGAAGGATATATTCAGATCAAATAAAAGCTTTTATCACCAAAGTAACAATGTTAAAACATGAGCTGTCCTAGGCTTGCCTAGAAGGAGATATTCGATTTTTAAGATATTAATCGTGTATGTAGTATACTCACAAGGCAAAATTTGAAGTGAATTTTTTTTTCTGGAACTCACTTATATTTTCGACGAAAATGGTGAGTGTAAATTGAAAGGCGAGATTTTGGCAGCTTCCCACCCCTCCCCATTACAGACATTAATGAGTTTAAGAGATCATTTACATCGAACAAAATAAAAATATCGCATGTACACTATTATTGGATGTTTTATTCAAACTTTCGTAATGTCCCTTGGAAGGGACATTTGGCTTTTAAGAGTTAAGTAACATCCAAGTTATCATTATTTTCAAACATTCAAGGAAATAGAGCTAAAATGTTGAATTCCTTGCATTTCAAACACTCTTTTTAAAATTTGAAACATACTTTTTTTTTTATACAACTCGACGAGTTCTATCCAACCATAATTGAAAAAGAATAATGAAAAGATCCCCAGTATTGATGAGTATTGGTAAAAAAAACGGTAATTTTCATCAATACTGGGGATCTTTTCTGTTGATATTGGTATTTTATATTCACCTATTAGATAGAGCTAACTTCGCTGGTTATAACTAACGCAAAGTATTGGTTGGTATTAGTAGATTTTCATTGTGAAAATTGGCAATCTTTACGTGTCTCAAAATGGTACTGTTACATCCCTACTTAGCTTATACCCTGCAGAAAGAATCATAAAAAAAAATAATTAACTCTATCGGAATAATACAAAACATTCATATTCGTAAGATGCCTCAAAAATATGTTTGAGGGGTTCAGTGCCCGTCCCCATTAATTGTGCTTCGGTTTTCAAAACATTTCATTGCTGAAAGGAACATTTCAAAATGATGGTGCAACTTCCAGTGTTTGTTTATTTTTGATTAACGCCACTTTCTATCACGATGTTGCAATGGTGTTGAGTATGAAAAAGAATATAAAGAATTTTTTTTAAAGGAAAGATAAAAAGCAAAAAAAACAATAGCACTCACTTTCACTTTCATTCTGTGTGTCAGTGTGTGGAACACAAGAAAGCTATTGCATTTCGTATAACATGTGTGAAGCACAAAAGACACGCGGCTTTGAGTATATCGACGAGCATTCAATCAGGGACGAGCTCAAGTGCAGCATTTGCACTGAACCATTCATCGATCCTGTAGTGACATCGTCTTGTGATCACACCTTCTGTCGTTCAGGCATTGAAAATGCACTAAAGAGGAAGGCTGCCTGTCCCGATTGTCGTCACGAGCCGCTCTCATCTGGTGAACTAAAGCCGTCGGGTCGTATTCTCTTAAATTTACTCAATCGACTTTTGGTAAGATGTACGAACTGCTGTCAAACCAACATTCAACGAGGACTTTTTGATGATCACATCAAAAAATTGTGTCCAAAAGTAGATGTAGCCTGCTCAGCTGCGGATCTCAAGTGCGAGTGGAGGGGGCCACGCGATCAGCTCTCGAATCATCTTGCGAATTGCATGATTGAGCCAATGAGACCTATTCTTGGCCAGTTTATTCCTATTACAGAGCGCATCGATCGCAGTGAACGTGAAAATGAGCAACTCAAGTTGAAGGTGGCTGCTCTCGAGCAACGGTGCAACGAGCATGAAATCGAAATTCAACAATTGAAACAGAAGATGACCGAGAAGATGAGTGAGTATAAGGATAAAGTAGAGTCTTGCACTGGCAGGAATTTTGGTACCCAACTTAGTCTATGTGGGCTGTACCACAATCCAGTTGTATATCCGATAAAAATAGAAATTTTCATATGTTTGAAACAACGCTTTTGTTCATAACCATGATATGCTCAACTTCATCTGATCATTTTTGACCAACAAGACTTTATCAGATTATTAACGAAAGATGCTCTGGATTTCGTGTCTGGAGCATCACTTTTTCTAGATTTTTTGTTCTACATGTGATTTATCCACTAATTTGGTCGGAGGTAAACTAGGTCTGTGGCAGTTCCTGTTAGCTGTAATGACTGTGATTATCTGCCAGTTCTTCTCTGCAGAACTACAAATTTTAGGTGGTTCTATTTTGCAAAACCACTTTAATTAAAAGTGACGTAGATTACCATTTTACTGCGCCACATTTACAGCGTTTTTCGAAAGAAATTATATTACACAGAATAGAAGCAAAACGTCAAATTTTCGGCGCTTGGACAAAACACTGCAATATCTCTCATAGTTTAAAATTGTTGATCCAGAAATTGACTCGAAGAATCTACAGAATGAACTTTGATATTATGATTTCTATAGTAGCCCCCAGCGAGCTCCCAGTAAGGGTATCCATATGACTATACGTATGGATATAAAATATTAATAAGCCAGATATATATTCTCATTCCGAATCAATGGCACAGCTACAGATATCGTGAACTGTTTGAAATTGAATTATCCTAGGCCGAACAGTCATCGAAAACCTCCGATTCCATCCGACTTTGCATAACCCAAATGTCACTATTTCCGAAGCTGGCCTCAAAGCTGTTACCCCCGCAAGCGGCTGTACTCGGTGTATGTATGCAAAAGTAAATGATGTTTCGTGGCAACATGGACGTCATTATTGGGAAATCACATTAGAAACGTTGGCTGGTACGATTTCACTTTTACCTTTATGAGTAATGTATGGAAAGCGCTTTAATCGTTTGCTAGGTTGTTACGCATCGATGGGTGTTGCCATATCCGGATGGACTGCAGATAAACGTATAGGTGATGATTCTTATAGTTGGGCTTTAAGGATCTATAATAATCATAGTAGTCATGAACATTCTGGATTGCGGCACGATGGTAAATCTTCCGATTATTATAAGTTATTTCCTGTGGGCACTCGTGTTGGAGCACTGCTTGACTCGGACGAAGGCACTCTCGAGTATATTGTTGATGGGGCGAAGAAAGGTAATGTACATATTAAATCTATAAGTGCTGACACCAGCGACTTCTTTATACTCAAATAGGTGTAGCTTTCAACAACTTGAAAGGGCATACTGTCAGTCCAATCTTCGAGTTCTGTCACAATACTACTTATCGAATGAATCACAACGCAATACTACCGCCCAACTAGTGTTAATTATACCTGTGACTATTTACATTTTATGCTGAAGTTTCTTGACAGATTAAAATGCATTTCGCTGTCTGTTGTGTATGCACTTCTTGACGTTTTTCAGTAATGGAAAGTACTCTGTTATTCTGCTATCTAGATACTATGAAATCACCAACTGAAAGTTCTTTTTCTTATAAATTGAATATAATCATGTTGTATGAACAACATATTTTTAGCATATTGAGAGCGATATTTGCCATACTATTCTTCTTAGAAGTTACTGATGTTAAAAAAAGAAAACATGGCGAAACCTTACAAAACATTTTCATATCGTTTGGTCAATATTATCAATTTTTTGTTTCATATTAAGAATATAAATGTATGTTTACATAGCCTAATATACATTTCAAGTTGAAGAAAAACTATTTTATTTCATTAAAAGATCAGTTTCTTCTTCTTCTGAAGGTAAATCATTATTATCGTTAAAATTCTGATTATTGAAATTAGCCTTTAATGCAGCTAAATGTGCCAATTCTCGAAGATGATCAGATTCAGCTGCACCGGTTTGATCAATTAATGATGTAAATTCAGATTCAGAATTACGTAATAATGCATAGGGTGAATCGAATTCTAATAATTTTCCATGACTCAGCACCTGAAATAACAGTTCAACATGTGTATACTGCAAAAAGAAAAATAAAATATCAATCGGTCATACCATAATACGATCACTATCAATCACTGTACGTAATCGATGAGCCACTGTTAATACTGTACAATTTTTAAATTGTTCACGAATTGCTCGTTGAATTAATTCATCCGTTCTAAATTATAACACATTGGGAATTTCAATGAAATAATATTTTATTTAAGTTCACTTACGCATTATCAACATTAGCAGTTGCTTCATCAATTACAAGTATTTTATTTTTTTTCAAGATAGCTCTTGCTAAACATACTAATTGCTTTTGTCCAACACTTAAATTTGAACCGCTTTCACTGATCAATGAATGAAGACCATTAGACATTACATCACTGACTACTTTTTTCAATTGTACCTAAATTAACGAAAGAATTTAAATTGAACTGTTCCAAGAGCAATGTATTTCTGTTAACTGACTTGTTCCAATGCGCTCCATATTTCAGCATCCGAATAATCACCAAATCGATCAAGATTACTTCTCATTGTTCCCGTAAAAAGAATAGGATCTTGTGGAATAATTGAAATTCGTCGTCGTACATCATCTAATCCAACCGTTGATATATCAATATTATCAATAAGAATTTGACCATTCACCAGTGTACCCATACGAAAAATAGTTTGAATAAATGAACTTTTCCCTGCTCCAGTTCTTCCTACAATACCAATTTTTTCACCAGCTTGTATATTTAAACAAATATTATCAAGAACAACCGATGAATTTGATTCATTCGAATGCGACATGGAAACATTCTTGAAAATAATTTGCCCACGTGATGGCCAATTGGCAGATGGCCGGTATTTCGGTGGTGCCTGAGCAGGCGGTTCTTGCTCAAGTAGACAATATTCAAGTACTCGCTCGATTGATGTCATTTGTGTTTCGAGTTCAACTGATTGTCTAAATAAATACAGATAATAGTTATTTATAGTTATATTTAGTTTTGTTTTTATAGAAACAAACCTGATACTCCACTGCATAAGACCCATGAGATTAAGACTGTACGAGAGTGTTAAAGCCACATCTGAAGCTGAAAATTTTTGTTGTGTAAAACGTGCAAGCATCGCTAATAATGTAACAGCAACAATAAAACTAAGAGAAATCCAATCAAAACGAATGCCAGCCCATCGATGTATTGTAAGAAGTAAATAATTAACACGTGTATTATCATCAAGATTATGAAGAAATTCTCTCGAACAAATTTGTTCAGCATGATAAGATCGTATCACTTTAAGACCATTGATAGTCGATGATAATTGTGAATAGACAGGACTTCTGGTGACACCTTCAATTCGTTTAAGATCTCTTAGACAATGAGCAAAGCGAGCTCTTAACAATAGCATGGCAATAGCAGCTAGTACAGCTGGAATAAATGAAAATGGATTGAGTATTCCAACTAAAGCTATAGTACCAAAAACCAAAAATAAACACTGCAGAAAAGCAATCATTAGATAAATATAATTGAAAGATTATTTGTGCTATTTACATTAAGAAAATCGAACACAGTCAATGGGAGATTATCATCCATTGTGGCTACATCTTTTGTAAAACGATTTAAAATTCGACCTAAAAATTAGAGAAATGAAAATAAAATCTTTCAAAAACTGAGATTTCACATACCAATTGGATTCATATCGAAAAAATGTATTGGACATCTGATAAGTCGTTGAAACATTCTAATCATGAAAACGCGTGTATTAGAGTATGAACTACTCGGGGAGATCCATATTATTACTTGTCATGCAATATTCGTCCAGCATTTAAACATATGAATTCTGTAATTACAACTCGTAAGAGTGTAACTGAAAATAGTCCAACCACAATACCTAGACAAAAATATAAAACGACTGAACTAATTTTTAGAAATAACATCCGAGATCCTTCTATTCTATATACGTATGTTAGAGCACATTTTAGTTTTACCTGAACTTTTAGTCAATACCATAAGGTATTGTTTACTAAATTCAAAGTTCTAGCCTTATTTTCATCAATATTTCTTTAATTCACTAACCACAAAAAATATAAAATCGTTGATTGCGATGTTCATTCCATTCGTTTTCACTCATCGAATGTATTCTATCAACTTTTGGATAATTTGCTATTGTACAGTTATCATAAGCACGATGTCGGTGGCCCTCGTCATTACTCCATTCTGCTAGCCACCAATTACTAGTTAAAGCGAATGCTTGTTGTCCACAGTATACAACTAACATTATTGTAAGACCTAAAGTTAGACCAATGCCAGCACGAATATATGATAGATAAACATTCCATTTCACTATTCCTTCTTGTTTCGTTTCAATATTTGTTGGTAATGGCTTTCCGTCGTCTTCTTGATTTCCGTTTTCTGAAATCATTGAATTAACCTCTGACAATCTTTTTATTACAGTAACTGTTTCGTTCTCAATTTCTTGTTCATGTTCATGTTGATTAATATCCTCAAGTAGACGCGCAAATGATGTTGAAGTAGAAATTAATTCTTCGTATGTACCCATCTCTACCATTTCGCCCTAATAAAAACATTTTCGATAAAAACAAAATTTTGATAAAGTATAATACTTGATTGAGAACAATAATTTTAGTTGCATCTTGTAAAAATTGAATTTGATGAGTAACTAAAATGCAAATTTTGTCATGAAGATAATTTTTGATTGATCTACAAAAAATGAAAATTATTGTTCTTATTAATTTTATTTCTTCATTATTTATTTACTGGTCAAAAATATGTTTCGACACTTTAACATCAACAGCTGATAGTGGATCATCTAATAAATAGATATCAGCATCACGATACAGTGCTCTTGCTAAATTTACTCTTGCTTTTTGTCCCTAAATGTATTTGAAGATATTTAGATGAAATGATCTTTCTTTCTTTCTTTCTTACTCCAGATAACATAATACCTTGATCGCCAACGAGAGTATTGATTCCATGAGATAAATCCTTTAAATCCTATATAACAAACAATAGTATACAAATATTTGAAGAAAATAATTTCCATCGACTAACACTATCAAGTGCAGTGACACTGATGACACGTTGAAATAATTTTGGATCATATGCGTTACCAAAAAGAATATTATTTTTGATTGACGATGAAAATATCCCTAAAAGAATCAATATTCGTGGAAATCATTCCCCGCATTGAAATTTCTCACATGGTTCTTGTGGAACATAACAAAATGATCCGTACAATCGAACTTTACCATCGAATGTCGCTATTTCACCTGTTAATGTCTGCAGAAGGGAACTCTAAATGCATACAGTAAAAATAAGAAAGATTTTCAGGAAAAGTTTCAGACAAACAAACTTTGCCTGCTCCAACAGGACCAATGACACAGATGAGATCTCCTGGATGTGCATCGAAGACAATATTTTTTAATGAAAATGTTCCGGTCTAAAAATTTAAAAAAATTATTCTTGACTCGCTAAATATCTCATTGAAATATTTTACCGGATCCCATCTAGCTTGTTCCAAATTACACAGAACTCGAGGTGGTGTTTTTATTGATTTCACTATTGTTGGTTTTGCGTCAAGAATCTCTTGTCCTTCTATATGTCTATTAGATACAATGTCCATCATTGATATTGACAATAGTCGATTATCTCGTTCACTTTCATCAAGAAGAAGAAACGTCTAAATAAACATGAATTTCATCATCTTTTTCTCTGACAAATGTTCCCTACTAACTTGAATGCGTTTCTTCGCAGCCAAAAAATGAACCAAATGACGAACAGCAAAGGTGAAAAAGTCAATAATCGATAAACGCATATATCCAAGCATACACGAAGCCACCGCGAAAAATCGTGTATCGAAATGAATGCCCAGGGACCACATTGTTCCATACATCATTAAAAAAGTCACACTTATGTAAGTATGAGAGAGTAATGTTTGAATACAATCAAGAAATAAACGAAAAGCACATCGTATGATTTCTCTTCTATAGAAGAAAATTATACAATAACGAAGAATTTCTCAACTTCTTTTGCTTTTACTGACTTTCTGACGGAACATATTTTATGAATAAATGCCGTTTCCCAACAATACATTTTCACAATACGCATTGATTTAATTATTTCCGACATAATTTTAACACGTTCATCAGTTACTTGTAGAATTCTTGTTCTTAAAAATTCAGAACAAAATAGAAAAAAAAATTCATCTAAAACAAAGACAAAATAAACGATGCCTACGAACCGGAGATAAACAAATAGACGGCCAAATGACGCTTGAACGATTAAAAGTAATAATGTATATCCAACAGCAATGAAAGCAATGTAGCGAACATGTTGCCAAAAGAAAATAATTACTAAAGCTAATTCTAATGGAGCAACCTAAAAAGAAGAAATGATCGAATTCTAGTCTAATGAACAAAACAATGTTAGTGAATACCCATAAATAATGAAAAAAATAAAGAACAAATTCAGCTTGATTTGCGTCATTCGATACTAAGTTTGTTATTTGACCAGTACTAAGATTATTCATTGAATGACTGGATAATCGAAGAATCTTTAGAAATAAAACGAAAACATAAGTTTTATCATATTATTAATTTTATAATATTTACTTTACGAAATATTAAGCCAGAATATGCTACACGCAGTTGTACACTATAAATGGTTATTCGATAAAAATACTAGAAAATAAATATAAGTATGCTGACTGATAGTTTGTTTTTTAAATTATTTCAATCAGAATTTGAATTTGCTGTAAATATTTTCGAGTAATCAATTTAATTTTTCATATGAATCACTAGGAATGCAAGAATAGCTAATCAACGATTGAGATAAGAATTTAACCAACCATAAAATTTAGAATTTCTAAATCACACAAGAAAACTATAATAATTCATCGTCAAAACGAAAACTAAGCATTCCTGAACTCGCTACTTCAACATTGATGAAAACTAATTTCAGTAAAATATCAAGTGAAAAATTCATATTAAAGTATAATTAAAATTACTTACTTTATGATAAATCAAACTGTTTGTTAAAGCAGCAATACTAGTTGCTACAGCTAAAATCCATGCATAAGGCGTGGATATTGTGGGACACAAATCGAAATATCCCATCAGTAATGTTAGTAATATTGGTTGAGCAAATTTAGTTAATTCCTAAAAAAGAAGCAGACTATTATTTAGTCGTTGTGTTATTGTTAATAATTACTGTTGGAATAAGCAGTAGACCGATTAGAAGTGGTCCCCATCCGATACTTTTAAATGTCGCACGAATAAGGTTTGGTTTACCGTTGGAGTGTTTAACTTCATTGAGCCAATTTACTTCGAGTTTTTCAGTTAAATTTGTTGATTCAAGTGCAGGAAGAAGATCATAAAGATCATGCAGATGAAGGGTACCTTGTTTATAACTTTTTTTCAATAGAAGTGATATCCAACTATGAACAAAACGAGACCATCTACCAGCACGAGAAGATGGATTCGGATTGGCCGATGATGTCATCTGAAAAAGAAAAGCTACTGTTTAAAAATATTATACCTGTTCTTAATAATTATTAATGAACATAAGAGAACGATTGTGACATGGTTTTATATTTGCCAATAAGACTGATATTCATTTAAAATCAGAGAATGCCCCGATTGTTTGATTACAACTGATGTTTTTTGACGTACTCCAAGAGAATTCTAATTCTTCCTTATTTTTCAATCGTGATCAAATCAAATTTGTATGATTAAATTTTTCGCTATACTAAGACTAACTCACTATAAATATATTGTATAGAAATATCCTGAGAGTTATCTGATGTTCTCCAATCTTAACTTCACTATAGATAGTAGCATTAATGTATTAAAATAAACATAAATGTCAAACAAAACTAGGTGACACTGCCCAATAACATTTGAAAGTAACATCACATGTTGTTGCAATTGTAGTAGGCAAGAAAAAACAACTCAATTTTTATTGCAGCAAAAACTGCATGTGTCGCTGTATCACTAACTGTTTCCACTAAACCTTAGTCACATATTTGTTATATGTAATTAAGTCCTAATATTGACTAACGCATTGATTCATTCGAATGTGATAGTGAAGTATTAAAAGCAACAAAAAAAATCAATAAATGAAAATCACCCATAATGTATAATGAAATAATTACTGAGTTTGATCAAATAGAACTAGGATTATCACGCATTAAACGATAAAGATCAAACAAATCAGAATCAAATATTTTCATTTAGATGTTAAAAAAGTTTGATTTAACGATAAAAATAAAATTTTATAAGATTATTTTTTTATATGGACTCCATAATTTTAACGTATTTGCTGTGTTTGTAAAGATATAAATAAGAGAATCATATTTTATTTTATTCACTTTTCAAGAATCGATACCTTTTTTTATGTTCGATATAATTACATACATGTGTAGAGAATTCTTCCTATGAACACTAATCGAGAGGCAACTGGAGGGTGTGGGCGATCGTAAGAGCATGGTGTCGACGAAGAGAAGACCTCAATCGACACCCACATCCTTTCGAGATTTGAAATTAAACTGATTTGTGTTAAGAAATAAAAGAGAATTATATCGGCTCTTGCATTCTTCTCAATGCTAACTTTTATATTTTGCAATATAAACTAGTAAAAATTTTTTTTTTAAAACATTAACTTACCAATATATACTTAATTAGAGTTGAATTATTATAGACAGCAAATATATAAATAATGTTAACTAAGGAGAATCAAAAAATATGAAAACGTCACTTCAGTACAAGAAACCAATCATATTCTATTGTTGTTAGCAAATAATAAATAGCTAATTTTTTCCACATTCAGATGTATAACAAATATTTGTATTAGTAAAATAATAATAAAATCATAGAATAGGAAATATAAATTCTTATTTAATCGACGTAAATGTTCTTGAGCTATTGAAGCGAAATAATTTTTAAATGGAAATAAAACTGCCCCCCCCCCCCCTCCCACACACACACAAGTATAGACCACTAGATATTTTGTAAAAAGTTCTAAAATGTGATCAACAAGTGCAACATGTTCTTCACCTACAGCGTTTCTAATAGGAATCTAAAACAAAAAGTCAAATGACGTTTTACTTTTGCCATTACAGTGTAAAGTGACATTTTGTTTTTTTAAACAAAGTGTCACAAAGTTTCCAAGGTATAAATGATTAAAATTACATTAAAAGAGAGAATCCTATGAATAAATTTTGTACATAGTATCTGGTTGCTTTCCCAATCGGGAAGATAATTACGGCCAGTTTAGTACTTGATTTTTGTTTAAATTTGACTTGTTAGAAGTTTCGTATTCAATGGAAGAAGACACGTGTTGAATATCAGCAACGTTTGATGATGAACATGAAGATTCACTGGCAATAATTTCAATTTCATTTCCTGGTTCGTCAAATATACATGAAGGAATAGAGTCGGGTGTATATGATGATGGAGAACGAATTTGTTGTTGATTTTCACGTGGTGATAAAACGTTCGTTGGTGGTTTTGGACTTCTAATCCAAAGTTCAATTAATTCTATTTGTTTTTTGTTCATCTGCTCTAAAAAGAAAGTGGTGGCAAGTCTTAGAAGATATAAAAAAACAGCTTTACTTGTGATTTCTATTTTTAAAAATAAATAACACGAGCAATTAATATGCATAAATTGTTGAGAAACACGTAGAGATTATTCGATCACAACAATAGCGAAAATAAATAAATAAATGGCAATAATAGTAAAAACAATAGATGAATTCAAATGGTAATAATAATAATAAATAAATAACAATAGTAGCAACAACAATAAATGAATTAAAATGGTAATTAAAATGATAATAAATAAAGTTCAATAACAAAAACAACACTAAATGGATTCAAATGATAATAACAACAATAAATAAATTCAAATAACAATAACAATAGCTACAATTGTGATAAATTGAGAAATGCTTTAATGAATGAACCAATTAATTTGAAGATGTCAGTATACGAAGAATATTTCGAGTAAATATAATTAGGGAGTTCTAAGGCTACATATAATAAAAAGGAAAGTGTAAAACAAAGTGTCAAATCAATATTGCAAGGTTCTTTGACTCTTTGTAACAAAGGCGGACTCTTGCTGTTAGAAACACTGTTCACCTACTATGACAAATAAATTAGTTGAAGCGGAACAACACAAATTTGTATTTCTCCAGCGTTTAATTATCCCTAAAATCTATCAACATATTGTTTATGAATCTTTATGAACTCATATACATATGTAAAAATATAATGTTGTGTTAGATAATTATTTAATTTAAATTTTCTTTACCAATACACATATTTTAGGATGGCATTTTTACGATTTGGCAGACCATAAGACGAGTTAAAATAAGGATAACGAAAGATGACGCTCATCTCCAGAAATTTAACAAAAATGGACGATGCCATTATCCTCTTGAAATCTCAAAATTCGAAAAATAGATCTTTACTGACAGAAAATGTTCAAACAATTATATTTTCCTATAAACTATTTTTTTATATAATCAAAGCTCACGATAACTGTTTCATTTGTGCTCACACAATCAAACATTTTTTTTAGTTTTAGAGAAAACAATTTAGTCTCCAACATGTAATTCGGATAAGATTCGAAAGTATTACATTCACTCGTATCATGCCAACAGTGATCAGATCGATTTTTGGAGTGCATCCTACATCAAACCTATGTTCTGCGATGAATCTTACAAGGAGGAAAAGCTAAATACTCATAAGATAGTTTTTACAGATTTTTCATCATACAATATCATTTGCTACTTTTTCTTGTGTTATTCATAAGTAAAATGAAATTAGCTCGATTAAAAATTTGGAACTCCTACTCAGATAAACTTTCCGACTATTAGGGCGATATAACACTAGAGTAAAATATCATACTCGATATTTCTTTAGAGAATTATGGATTCTATAGTATGATTTTACGAATCACTTTTCGTTTTAATTAGAGCTCCTAAAATATGTTTAGCGTTCATGGTTTCAAGCATAATCCCATGTTGCGAATACCGGATCATTTTTTGCGCTAAATTACATTGATATGGGAGCCGGCAACTGGACAGGTAAAACCGCGGTTAACCGCCGATTTTCATGCAGTTTTTATTACATGGGAATTCATCAGAAAGAGTTCAAGAACGAATTGCAAACAATAACCAAAGTGCTGAATTTCACAAAAATGACATACTAAGATAAACTGTTTGACTTTAAAGAATGTAAAAATCCTAATTCAATTTTTAATAAAAGAAAAGTAGGATATAAATCTTCTGATTTATTCTTGAGAATTGAGGTCATGGATGAAGGTCTATAAAAAAAAACATTATATTTATATTCATATGAAAATTTCACTTCTTCAACATTTGTTTCATACAAATCTTGAGTAGTATATCATATCGATTTTTATACAACCATTACAAATCAAGCAAGAAGCAAGGTAACTGAAATTAATTTGGTCTAATACACGACTATTGGAGAAAGACACAGGTATATATATATGTATACAGTAAAACCTCTATAAGTGAACACCTCTCTAAAGTTAACACCTCCTATTTGAACGCGTATCTCGGTCCCCCCGATCAATTTTTGCTGTAAATGCACCTCTATAAAATGAACACACGTGCAACAAATTACAAGTTTATGTATGAAACAAGAGATAAAAGAGATAAAAATTAAAAAAAAGAACATAACGTCTATTCTGATACAGTGTTACACTAATTAATCGGCGGTATATTGACCAGAAATAAAATTCGCCCTACGTATAGAACAAAAGAAACAATGAAAATGAATAGTCCGCGTAAAGATGATCACTTGCATGTGAATGAACAAAACACTTTTCTATTTACGATTGTGTGATGACGACGAAACACACATTAACCCTCTCTGAAAAGATACAGTTGATTCGTGAAAATGAAGAGAAGGTTTCGTACCGTACATTTTCTGACAGATATAAGATTTCAATTGGCAGTGTATCTAACATTATCAAGCGCAAGGTCGAGTATATTGAAAGTTATGAACAAAATGAAAGTTCAACTAAGAAGCGCAATCTACGAGATGAATTCAGTCACCAGCACGATCAACAAGTGTATGAGTGGTTCGTGATACAACGCAGCAAGAACATTCCCGTATCAGGTCCTCTTCTACAAGAACGAGCCCGGCAGATTCGTCAACAACTGGGTGGAACGGCTGCTAGCGACTTCAAAGCTAGCAATGGTTGGTTGGAGAAGTTTCGAATACGTCACAGCATCCAACATCGAGTTATATGCGGAGAATCAGCAGCAGTGGATCCTAAAACTGTTGACGAGTGGAAAAAGCGACTTCCATCGATAATCGAGCAATACGATCCCAACGACGTCTACAATGCCGATGAAACCGGCTTATTCTTTAAAGCTCTACCAGATCGTTCACTCGTTATGGCCAAGGAGGCTTGCAAGGATGGCAAACTATCGAAAGAACGTTTCACTGTTCTCCTTTGCACAAACATGACAGGCACAGACAAATTAAAACCGCTTCTTATCGGTAAGTTCCTACTTTAAAAGTAATTTCTTTCATTCATCTGTACTAATATTTGTGACTTAGGCAAAGCGACTAAGCCGCGCTGTTTTAAACATTTAAATATTAAAGAACTACCTGTTACATGGCGATCGAATCGAACAAGTTGGATGACTGCCAGCCTGTTCGATGACTGGCTCGTTTGTGTGAATCAAATCATGATCAAGCAAAAACGCAAAATTTTATTGTTTATCGACAATGCACCCTGCCACAATCCCGATATCGAGTATTCCAACATTTCTCTCAAGTTCTTTCCTCCCAATACAACATCGAAACTACAACCACTCGACCAGGGCATTATTAAGAATTTCAAGTGTTATTATCGTGAGTATCCCGATTCTTATTATTTTGTTAGAGAGCACTATGCCTTTATTTAGGTCAATACCTTGTCAAACATGTGATATCACGCTGCGCCGTCGCCACCTCATCCGATGAAATTATCATTACAGCACTTGACGCGATTCACTGGACGAAACGAGCTTGTCAAGCTGTCACTCAATCAACAATTTGTAATACATTCCGGACAGCAGGCTTTGTCTGTTCAACAATCAAAAACGTAGCCAATACTACAATAAATAGTGACTCTGATTACGACGAAGAAATTCTTACTAACGATATCTTAACAGCCTTAAAAAATCTAGATTTACTTCTTGTTCATCTCAACATCGGTGGACAAAGTCTCTCAGCCATTGAGTTCATTGAAGTGGACGAAGAGACTCCAGCTTTCAACGAGTGGAACGACGTCGACAATAGCCTGATCATCGTCGATGAACAACACTACAACGACGATAACAACGACGAAGATGACGACATGCCAACTGAAACACCACCCAAGGTGATCGAGGCCATAGAAATGGTCAGGCGATTGCACCTTTTAGCTGCAACTCAACAACCACAACTACATTCTCTTATCTCTCAACTCGATTCTCAGCTCACTCAGCTCTTCATTGGCTCGAAAGGAGTCAAACAGACAACAATCGACGATTTTTTTCATAGAAATTAAATAGATATGTGTGAGAAATGAAAGAAATATTTTTTTAAACTTTGTTTTGTAAATATTAAATAAATATGTGTAACATATGAAAGAAATACTCTTTGTTTTTGCTTTAAGTTATTTGTGGTGAATTCTGATACGCAAGATGAGTAGTAGACACCAATCGATATTATTAAACATGAACTGTATACATGTAAGAGTTCAGTTAATGCAAAACCTCCATATATATAATGAACACCTCCTTTAATGAACACTTTTTGAAGGGTCCCGTTAGTGTTCATTATAGAGAGGTTTTACTGTATATCAATAAAAACTATACGTTATTCATGATAAAATTGAAACTGAAGAGTTTACGAAGGTGACGAAAAATAAATTATCCATCCTTGTTATGATCTTTTTGATAAAAAAATATACTATTGGATATGGAAATTTTTTCTGTTTGAAAATGATATCTGATTTTACGGACACGCTTCACTAACGCCGGCTCGTAGTAGTCAATACAAATAGTACTTTGAAAATAAACTGATTACTAGCTAGCGATTTATTTATTATTGAGGTAGTGATTTCATAAGAAGGAGAAATCTCGATTAGTAATTAGTATGTTGGTCGTTTTAATATAAATCCACGATCTAGCAACTTTCATGAATACTGTGCGTTTACAAATTTGTTTTTGTTTCTGTGCTCGTTACATTTCATTTTTTCTTTCATCACTGGTATGAATGCAACCCATGTCGCACAAACCGATCGAAAACCGTCGGTTAACCGCGGTCAATTTTTATAAAAATCGGTTAACCGCGGTTATTTAAGCCATTTTAGCGACTTAACTGCGTAAAAACCAACGGTTAACCGCGGTTAACCTCCCAGTTAACCGGACAAGTCATTGGTTATGTCGCGAGCTGGCGGTTATTTTTCCGGTTAACGGGGAGGTTAACCGTCGGTTTTTACGCTGTAAAGTTGCTAAAATTGCTTAAATAACCGCGGTTAACCGATTTTTATAAAAATTGACCGCGGTTAACCGACGGTTTTCGATCGGTTTGTGTGACATGGGAATACAAACACGAGAGTGTGAAAGTCGGGGTGTGGATGTAGGGTTATCTCTTCCCTGTACCTACATCCAACATCCAACACCCACACCCACAAGACCCATCTACACCAATTCTCTCCGCATATTGATAATAATTCTAAGACGTAACTTATTGAATCACTTACTGAAATTTGTCATCACTCCCGAATATATTATTATTTAACTTTACTCTCCGTTCATTTCAGTTAATTACTGATCAAGGCTAATAAATACACGATGAATTCGTGTGATTCGCTTGTAGACGAAAACAAGGATGAATCGGCATCCGCGTTACTTAAATGGGTGAATGAGCAAGCTTCAGTAGTTATTTGGATTTTTTCTGGTTTCGAGCTAGAAGACAATGTACCATTATATATTAATTTATATGCCATGTTCTATAGTGTTCAAACTTACCAAGATACACAAATTAAGGATTGTGCCGCATTTGTTAGAGCATATAAGGATGCAGAATTTGTTGTTATTGTTTCCACGAAATATGCCTTAAGGATCATACCCCACATTTACGATTTGAAACAATTACATTCAATTTATATTTATGATTTATCTAATAACATAGACAGCATTGTACTCTACTCTTACGCCAAAGTAAGGTGGCATAGTATACTTTTCTAAGGTTGAAATGATATCCTTCTATTCTCTTTATAGACAATAGGTGTTTATAAAACTGTCGATCACTTGTTTCATCAATTAGCAGACGATATCAACCATAAAAAATTCAGCGTACCGTTAGGCGATCAAGGTACAATCATTATATATTAAGATGTAGATTTTTGTTCTAAAATTTTTAGTAAAGTTTTGATCCAATTAGAGTATAACCAGGAAAAAGCACTGAAAACATTGGTTGATAAATGCAGATCGTGTTACAGTGATAATCAAACAATATTGAAGCATCTTGAAGAGTTGGAATGTTCTTATGATAGAAATAAAGCAATTTACTGGTATACACGAGATTCTTTTCTTTTCCGATTGGTCAACAAAGCTCTGAGAACTATGAATATTGAAGTCATATTTAATTGTCATTTTATTATCGTCGATATTTGCAAGGCATCAGAAGAAGAACATGAAAAATTAATCAACGAACAAAATTATTCTTTATCACTCACATCAATGGTACAATATTGTCGTGGACAACGCATGAGTCGCAATGAATTAGATCAACTAAAGCTATCTATCGATGAATTCGTTATTGTGAAAAGTTTTTTATCAGCTACAGTGGATCCTTAAAAGGTGTGTGGGTTATCAATTTGAGTCTAGTTGATGAAAATGACCAACGTCTACTTAATAAACTTAATGAAATTGGCTATCAGCATTTATCTGAGTTGTCTTTTGGTACTCAAATTATTGAAGTCGGAAATTTGATTCTTCGACAATGGTCTCAAATGTTGAGTTTATTATATTACAATAATTTGTTGCGTGAACATTCAATTGATGATCCAACATATGAGTGTGCCTGTTATGCTGGCCTTGGTTGGAATGTATTTCTTGAAGAAAATTATGAGCTGGCGCTTGCTGATCATGCGAAAGCACTCGAGCGATCCCCTTCTTGTGCCGATAAAAGAAGTGAAGGACTGAAGGCCACTATTCTCAATCAGATCGGAAAAATCTATGAAGCATTAGGTTCATTTGAATTGGCACTTCAATCTTACACAAAAGCAGCACTTGACTTAGATTCCTCTCGTCTAGATCAGTATGATGCTTTTAGTGGATTTCCGATTATTCCAAGTAGGAAAATCGCGAAGTGGCATCGAGTTCAAAGTAATTTTGATGTTGCCATGGAAATTTACAACAAAATAGTGGAAACTAAAAATATAAATCATTTTAATGGTCGAATGTCCTTTTACCGTGAAATAGCACGGGCAAGCAATCATGTACTATATGAAAACGATGATTTTGCGCACATAATACAATGGACAATTTTCAACTATTTTAGTAGTGCACACTATCTTCCGGAGTATTATAATGAAATTGCTCAAGAATACTATTTTATTGGAAATACTATTCGCGAGTATAACAAAAGTTTCACTTTCGACACAAATAGTCTAGCATTGAAATGCTATCGTAAATGTGTTGATATTTTGTCCCATTATGCGCCAAAAGAGCATAGGAGCATTGCAGAATGCTATGATTCCATAGCAAAAAGCTATGTCACAATAGGCAGTAATGAGTTTCATTCAGCAGCGATTGAACATTATGAAAAAGCGCTCTTAAACATACCAAGTGACACGTAGTGTGCTTGGTTGATCAACCTTCTTAAGACATATTCTAAAAGCCTAGCTGATGCCTATATTGTGACTGAGAGGTTTAATTTGACTATATGCTATTTATTAAAAGCTATAGAATATGAAAGAAGATATTTGCATATTACAATGAACATAAATATGCCCTATTATGAACATGCAGCTGTGACCACAAATAAAAATATATCCAAGTGTTACAACAAAGTTGCAGACATATATGAAATTCTTGCTTCTAGATATCGCACTAAATCATTGGCTGATTTGGAAACTACGAAAGATCGTCACGATTCTTTTGTTCTTACACTCATTTCTGACCCAACTGCTCCAATTTTAGGATCATTTTATAAAAAAAATGGCCCACATTTTATTGCCTGCACAAGCAGCTGCGAAAGCAACAACAATTTTTAAGTGTTTGCACGATCATGAACTTGCATTATATTATCATGACATCATGATGCCTAGTTCGACTTCGAATATAAATTGACATCTGAATAACTATTCACAGTTCGAAAATAAATGAAAAAAATCCCGACCATTTAAAAACCATCGGAAAGCAACTGATCACATAACTGCCAGCACATTTATATTTTAGGTATAGATTTAGATTTCCTTTTTATAAATTATGAAGTTTGTAAAATAGAGGTCGCTTCAATTTATAATTTAGTAATAGATTTAGATTTAGTTATTATCAATTATAAAATTAATAAATAAGCTAAATCGTTAGTGAGTTTTTTTAAAGGTGCACCCCATACATATTTTATGCTTAGTCCAGAATCTGAAGATACACACGGAAGCCGAGTGATAATGTCTCTGTGACTTATCTTGCACTCGATATTGGATACATTTCCTCGGTTACTCTTCCTCGTNACTGCATATCAGAACTCAACATCGAATAACAAATAGTGATATTACCACGTAAAGTGAAACACTTCAAACCACTAAAATTCCAAACCGATACTCAGGCCTGATTTTCCTCAATATCTGACCTAGATATAGCATACTCTTTGGCAGCAATATTAGAACTTGATACACTAAAAAAAGAACAGTCAATCAGACAAAATTTAAACAGCAATCAAAATATATTTACACTAATATCTCTCAAATCTAGACGACAATTGTAACTATCCGAAATGCCTAAATTACACACGATCTCAACTTACTGAATACATTTGACTTTAAAATTATAATTTCACAATTTATATAAAGGAAATCTAAATCTATTTCTAAATTATAAATGGGAGTGAAGGTCAATTTATAAATTTTATAATTTATAAAAAAGAAATCTTTTCCCGGGGATTGGATGAAAACATGAAAGTGGTTTTTTTTCATTTATATTCGAAGTCGAATTAGGCAGCTACTCCTTGTCGAAGAAATACGCTACGTCGACTGTGAACTACATGAAGGTCTAAAAGACTTTCATTATCGTTAGATTGTTGTTGGTTTTTCTTTTATTCTGGTTTATCCTCCTTTTGTGAAGCACGATTTGAAAGGAGTGTTGAAGTATATAGGATAGAAACTTGGACCCATCCCCCCACGGACCGTTACAGAGAAATTAATTAATTAATTAATTAATTTCTCTGTGGTTGTTTCTACCGACTCCACAGATAATAATGCAGACCATGACCGAAAGGCTCCATGAATGATTACGGGCAGTGGCAGAAAAGCTGGAAAGACTCACAGACCGTGGT